CGCGCCACGCCGGGCCCGCCTCGAAGTCCAAGGGCCGCGCCAGGTACAAGCGCCCCGAGGCCGCGTCCAGCGCGAAGGTGCCCTCGGGGTCAACGCCGCCTACCAGCGTGTAGGTGAGTGCGCCCACACCTGTGGGCTCCGGCGGCGCTACCGAGCCCAACAGGGACCCGGGCCGCAACCCCTCGGCAGCCGTCACCGTCAGCACGACGGGCACTGGTGCCGCTGGGTCGAGCTCTGCGAGATCCGGGGGCGGCTCAGCCGAGCGAGAAGAGGGAAGCACCTGTTTTGGACCGCGGAGGATGGAATTAAGAGGACCTGAGTAAAAGGGAGCCCGGACCGGCTCCCTGGGCAGTAGGGAAGGGAGGTCAGAGTAGCCTGACTGGAGAGCCCAAGGACCGCATTAAGCTGGAGCTACTAGAGGGAGCCTGCAGCGGCATCAACGGGAAGTGGGCAGCCATACCTGCACCAACAGCTGGAGGCTGGCACTTCGAGGTGGGTTGCCTTGGTCGTGAGCGCTCAGTGTCAGCACATAGTGAGGCCGTTCTGCTCTGATCAGGGGCGCTGCAGTGAGCAGCTCCCCCGAGTGAGGATGCAGAGAGAAGAGCTCTGAGCCAGGACCTGGGGACAGGCAAAGGAAGGGTGAGGGCTTGGGGCCCTTAGCTGGGCAGGCCATGAGAGCATGTGACGACCCTTCCGGCCCGATCCCCTTCTCTCCACCCCATACCAGTTAGTGTATACAGGATGGTCCCATTCTCCCCCTCATCTGGATCCTTGGCCTGCAAGGTCGTCACCAGTGTTCCTGGAGGCACGCGGTCTGGTACCTGTGGGGACACAACATACCTACAGTTACCTCCTTCCTGCTCTTCAGAAGACTCAGGATAGTTCCCCTCACCTGTGGGCAAGCAGAGTCTCTTTTCTGCTCTCACAGCTACTCCAAGAGCCAGTCTTTTCTCACCTACATCTACAGCTCCATGGGGAGACAGGGCCTGGCCACTTCACACACCTGTACAGGGAGGCCTCCGCCAGCAGCTCCTGAAGCCTGCAGAAAGGTGGGGCTGTTGTCATTGAGGTCGAGCACTGCAATGTGCACGGTGCCTGTGGTGCTGCGGGGTGGGTTTCCCCCATCCTGCACTTGCACCAGGAGCTGGTAGCTGCTCTGCTGCTCGCGGTCCAAGGTTTGGAGTGTGGTCATTTCTCCTGGGGGTGTAGGATAGATATCATGCACGAGATATTTAGGAATGCAGAGCCTGAGACTCTGGGAGTTGGGGTTGCGGGTATAGGAGGGAATGCCAGGGCTGAACTCTAGGCTGAGTCCTGATCCTCAGAGCCAGGATTTGGGCTGGAGGCTGTGCATCCTGTCTGGGTGTTCTACCAGTTTGGGGTTAAGGCTGTAGGGTCTCAGAATCTGGGTTCCAAGGCTCACCAGTCTGGGGGTGGATGCGGAAGGCCTTGTTGTCTTCAGAAAGCTGTCGCAGGCTGTAGGTCAGGCGTCCGTTGGGTCCCGAGTCTCGGTCAGTGGCAAAGACCCGGCCCACAGTGGTCCCTGGGGGCTGGTTCTCGGTCACAGCCAGGAAGGTGGGATCCTCAGACAAGCGGGGACTGTGGTCATTCTGGTTGAGGATGCTGACTCTTATAGTGGCTGTGCCTGTCTGCTGCCCTAACTCAGCTTTGAACCCAGACACTGCCATTACCTTCAGTGTGTACAACTCCTGGGCCTCACGGTCTAGAGCTGCCCGCACCCATAGCCACCCGCTCTGTGACTCCAGGCCAAAGGGGCTACTTGCACCCTCTGTTGCAAGGTGATAGGTGACAGGGCCCCCATCTGGTGCCTGGGCCTGCACTTGCAGGACCTGAGTTCCTGGAGTGGTGCCCGAGGGCAGGTCCACACGGTAGGTAGGGCTGTTGAATTGTGGAGCTAGACCACGGGTCCCCACATCCTGTACTATCACTCTCAGCCGAAAGTGGCTGGTGCGTGGTGGGGATCCCCCATCCTGGGCCTCCAGCTCCAGCTCATGTGCTGGCCCTCCTAGGGGCCCCAGAGGTCCCATAAGCCGTACATGGCCTGTGATGGGGTCCACAGTGAAGGCCCCACCACCCCCAGCAAGCAGAGCAAAGGTGACTCGACTGTTAACACCTGAGTCGGGGTCCAGAGCCCGCAGTGTATAGATGGGAGTCCCTGGGGCAGTGTTTGGTGGCAGCAATACTGTGTCTTCAGGTGCAGGGAAGGCAGGGGCGTTGTCATTCACATCTTCCAGCAGCACACGCACCCGAGCTACAGCGAAAGCCGGGGGCACTCCACTGCCTGCTCGCACCTCCAGTTCTAGCACTGGTCCCAGCAGCTCCCGGTCCAGAGGGCGAATCGTCTGTAACAGCCCTGAGGCTGCATCTAGGGAGAAGAGTCCTTGGGGATCCCCACCTGACAGGGCAAGGGTCACAGGTGCCAAGCGACCTGGGGAGGAGGAGAGAAGGGTCGGGAAAGAGATAGGGGGGCACTTTTTGATTCAGGGCCCAGACTCTGATCCCAAGAAGGGCTGGGTAGTTGCCCATACCCATGCCTTTCTAAGTATTCTGAGGAGGAGTAGGGATTAGCGAAGTTGGTTGGCACTAGAGGGGTGATACCCATGTGCCTGAGAATGAAGCAGAGAGCCTGCTCTATGCCTCAGGAGGTGCTGAGCATTGGTACCCGAGTGTTTTGTATTTAAACTAACTGTATGATACTCTAGGGGACCTTGAGATGGTGCTGGAGGGCTATATTGGAGTATCTGGGTGTGACACCAAGTGGGTATAATGCCAAATGATACCTGGTGGGTTGTGTGCCTGGACTATGCCCACACTGGTGGCTGGTGCCACATCTTCTGGCACAGAAAAAACATACTGTAATTGCTCAAATATGGGTGGTGTGGGGGTTCCAGGCACAATGCTGATGTTGACTCGGGCACTGGGTTCTGCCTGCAGGCGACCTCCATCTTGAGCCCCAATCTCCAACTGCACCACAGAATTGGCCCGTCTGACCAAGGGCCAGGCTACCGTCAACAGCCCTGGGAAGAAGGATAGAAGCAGAAATATATAAGAAAACAGAATAGGGCAGGAAGGGTTATGGAATAAGTGGGTAGGACATCATTTAGGCAGGTAGGGAGGGAGGCCTAGCAGGCCTTGGGAATGGAAGTGATCCTCACCTGAGTGCTCATCCAAGGCAAACAGTGGGGGGCTATTGCCAGACAGGATGTGGTAGGAGAGTTGCCCATGGGGCCCCTGGTCGGGGTCATGGGCACGCACCCTCAGCACAGCTGTGCCTGGTGGACTCTGGGCACTCAGACTGGCAGCATACTCCCGTGGATAAAACTGAGGTGGGTTGTCATTCTCGTCTGATACAAATACCTTCACATAAACCATGGACTGGAGGCCTCCCTGGTGGGACATGCAGTCATAGGTCAGGTGGGCCTCATCTGGCCCTGATGAGTTCTCTACCCCAATGTTCCAAACTGCCCATGATCTGCCTACTCACCCCATCCACAGCTGTTACTGTGAAGTCGAAGCTTGAGGGCCCTTGGTCGCGATCCAGCATCCGGGTCGTGCACACATCACCACTGTGGGCATCGATGCGAAATGGGGGAGACCCAGAGGCCCCAAGTCCAGCACCCAAGGAATAGGAGAGAAGTCCAAATGGGCCACTATCCGCATCTGTGGCTGTCACCTGAGGAGAAGCTTGGGTGAGTGATGCCCTCTCTTGTTGGCCAGGAAAGACAGAATTAGGGGGCAATTAGAAGGAGCAGCTGGTGTTCAGTCTCCGTATGGTGGACACACAGAGGGATGGATAGGACATGGACCAAAACCCAACCCCAGCCCAGACCTCACCACACAGATTCCTGAGGGCCTCTGGTCACACATTTTTGTCAGCAGGCCAATACATAACTTTGTCTGATGTGTGTTTCTGTTTAAAGACATCTTATTTAATAAATATTGTTAATTGTTGATTCATTAACATTGAACTCATGGCCAACTGCCCTATAACTCACGCTTTAACAACGGTTATCTGACACATATTTTCTCCATGAGACCCATCACAGAGCCTTCTTCTGCTTAGGAATGCTAGATAGCACGTCAGTACTATACTTGGGGATCATTTTAAACAGCAAAATCACCCTAAAAAAGCACAAAAATACAAAAAATGTGGCAGTATATAGACCTCAAAAAAGGACACTTGTTTACAGTATAAGAGCCGAAACAAGAAGGCAGAGCTTCGCCTTTTTCAACCTCAGCTGGGAATATGCATGTTGAGCAACTCAGACTTTTCATCCCTCTGTGCATGTCCAGAAATGCCACAGGTATTGATTTTAGGGTTATAAATAAATTTCAGAGAGCAAGTGAATTTACAAATAATGAGAACCAACTATACTTAAAAAGAATGCTAAGGACCTCAAATTCCAGGTGGATCCAGGAAGTTAAAATCTTACCAAATCTCATAATTACCCCAAGCAAATAACTCACTGGCAATGGAATGATTGAGACTGATGTTATAGGTCTGATTTTTATTGAGCTTGACCATTACAGAATGGGATCTGATTAATACTGGGATTTGATCACTATAGGGTCTGCTCTATGGATTTATGAGTGTGGCTCATGCACCTTCAGAATAGGACAGCACCAGGTACACAGTAGGTGCTCTATGCATATTTGTTCATTGAGCAAATGGAAAGTCTGATTATCCAGCTTTGTGACAAAACCTTCTTTCATACTAAGTTTTACACATCGGGTGCACATTATGCCCTCAACAGTGGGCTAGCTGGTACTGACTGTTGTAGCCTGTGACAAAGTGCTCTTTGTGGATATAGGGACCTCAAGGTCATGATATACTGCAAGAGGAAGCTTGAGTGTTCCCCTTTCTCAGTCAGAAAATGTGCTCAGAAAGAAAGCTAGCCAAGGGCTTCTGATTGTTGCCCGGGCCCTTGATAGAAATGATCTGTGCCATTGTTTACCCTCCTGAAAGACATTAAGACCCTGCCATGGCTGAAGCCTGGAAACAGTTCCTGCTCCAACTCTTTACTGTGGCTGTGGGCCCGGATATCCCAGGAGACAGACTTCCCCCTACATGTTATTCTGGCGGGCAGCAGCACAGCTGCGGCACCATCTTCAGAAGCTGTTAAAGACCTTTGCCCTCTGACTCGCTGCAGGAGGAAAGCAATAAACAGTGGTCGGGGGAAGTTGTCAGGAAGTGACCCCAAAAGGCGCAGGGGCCATTGACTGGAAATGACCAAGGCAGCAGTGAATTTCCTGGCCTGCGCAGCCCCTGCTCAGAGGTTTCACTGCAAATGTCAGCCTCCATTTTCAGCAGGTTCTCAGTCCAGATTCTCATCCGACTGTGGTCAGCTCCCTCTCCCATGCCCCAAAGTTAAAATAAACTTCACCCATCTCTGCCTGCCCCCACCCTATCCACTGCTCTCAGCAGATGCATCAATTGAAGGAGAAAAGAAAGACCCTTATCTGTGAATTCTCTGAAATTCCTACCAAACTCCAGACCTACTGCATCCATCCTGACCTCCTTCCTAGGCGTACCTCCTGCTTTGACTTCTTGACACTACACTCTCCTGCTTCTCCTCTCACTGCTTTGCCTCCTCGCAGTTTTCTTTCATCTCTCCATATCTGCCTGTTCTTACACATTTCTTGGTCCCTGGATTCTCTCCATCTCCTCTCACTCTAACACTCTCTCAGGACCTCCGCTTTCACTTCTGTGTGCTTTCACCCTATACCACTCCTCTGAGTGCCAAACCTGTATGTCCACATGCCTGCTCAACATCTCCACTCGGATGTCCCACAGGCACCCTAAATTCAACCTGTCCAACACTAAACTCATGATTATTCCAAACCTTCTTTAATGACTCTTCCATCCACACAATTGCTCCGGCTAGAAATTAGTTCTTCCCTTTTCCTCACCTGGTTTATCAGTCAACCAGGGACCAAGCAATTCTTCAATATCTTCCTTGTTTTTCTATTGCTTTCCATCACCATTATCACTGTTCTGGCTTAGGCCTGAGTTATCATTCTTCTATTATAATTCCCTTTTTATAGGTGTCTGACCCTCTGATCCATACTCTGCACCAAGGTTTCTCCAAATTGGTGCTAGTGACATTTGGATCAGATAATACTTTATTATGGGGACTGTTGTGTGTCATAGGATGGCTAGCAGTATCCCTGGCCTCTACCCACTAGATGCCAATAGCATCTCACCCATTGAAACAATCAGAAATATCTCTAGACATTGCTAAATGTCTCTTCTGAGGTCCAAAATTGTCCCCCAGTTATGAAGCACTCTTCTACACTGACTACCATTTGAGCAAACAAATCTGAGCATACTGCTCCTCTATTTAGAAATCTTCAAGGATCCCTATAGAAAAAAGCTCAAACTCCCTGGCTGGGCTCCTCACTGTCTGGCCTTCCTGCACAGTCTCATCCCCCACCCTCCCATCTCCCATCTTAATCTACAGAGATCCTGAGCTCCTGCTGGCCCTTGAATAAGTCAGGCTCCCCATGCCTCTGTGCACATCACCTTTGCTTGGAACCCTTCTCCTCCCGCTTGGTCCCCTCATAAACTCCTGTTCATTCTCTAAGTCTCAACTCAAGACTCAAGAGTCCCTTCCTTTGGGAAGACATTCATACTGCCTATCTGTACCATATATATATATTTTTTTTCATTCATTTAGGGAGAACATATATCTCCCCAAATGGAAATTTTCCTCTTGCAATAAAAATATTTTTTTGCACATGAATCTCCCCTCTAAACTATAACCTCCATGAGATGGGGGAGGGTGTGACTCATTCATTACTGTATTCCATGCCCCTAATACAGTGACTGGCACATGGTAGACACTCAATAAATTTATACTGAATAAATCAAATAGTAAGACTTCTTGTAAAAATTATAAATTCCCAGTAGCCATTTTTATCCCTACTTCCCTATGATTACTAATAGCAAAAGCTGTAGGAGGCCAGGTTTGGTGGCTCAGCCTGTAATCCCAGCACTTTGGGAGGCCAAGGTGAGTGGATTGCCTGAGCCCGTGGATTCAAGACCAGTCTGGGCAACTTGATGAGACATCGCTACAAAAAAAAAATTAGCTGGGCATGGTAGTGTATGTCTGTAGTCCTGGCTACTTGGAAGGCTGAGGCAGAAGGATCACCTGAGCCCAGCAGGTCAATTCTGGTGTGGTCGTGAGTGTGCCACTGCCCTCCAGCCTGGGCAACAGAGAGAGACTCCAACTCACCTCAAAAAAAAAAAAAAAAAAAACCTCCAGGAAACCACCCGGAGAGTTGCCCTCTTGCCTCAGGCACTAGGGAGGGAAGCAGTTTGGAAGCCAAAGCCCATTGACCCTGGCCAAGAAGGAGAGTATACACATGGAAGAGTAGGTGGTGGGAGTTGGACGGCAGCAGGCAGACAAATATCCAGAGTCTGGCTAGGAAACAAGAGGTTAGCCAGGCCCAGCACTAGCCTGGAGTTTTAGGCCACAGACAGCCCCTGAGGAGAGGCTCAGAGGTCTGGTAGACTTGGGAGACATAAGGAGGCCAAAGCACTTGCCTCCTAAGAGGACTCCTTGCCTCCAGTCCTCTCTCCTGCAACCATCCTCTACAGTGTAGCCAAAGTAGTCTTTCCAAAAGACATATCAGATTTGCTTAAGAGTCCTTCTTTGGCTCCCTAAGATTTTTAGGATAATGTCAAACTTGTGACCTGGCCCCTTTCTAGTATCTTATCTCGTGATCCCCCAGCTCTTTCTCAAAAGCACAGCTGAGGCCAGTCTCCTGAACACGTCATGGTGTTTGTTCAGCAGCAATTTCTCTAGGCCTAGTGTCTCTGCATACCTCATATTATTCATTTCACAGAGTTCCATTAGTTCTTCAAGGACTCTCCTTTTGGCTTCCACAGCACTTTATATGCTGCCTGCTGCAGCACTAGTTACTGGTGTATCTCCTTATCTAGACTGGAACCTGCCTGGGAACAGGACCTCTCCTTTCTCTGTTCTCTGGGTGAGCAAAGAACCAGGCTTACAATGGGTAAATAAATCCTTGAATGTATTAAAGAAGGAATGACCTGTTACTCACCCCCTGATCCACTCCATTCTTCACCCTTAAAGCCAGTTAACTAACTTAGAAAACAACAACAACAACAACAACGACAAAAACCAACTAATCATGCCCTTCCCAGCTCAAAGAAGTTCAGCGACATCTTTTGCTTTCCAAGTAAAGTCCTAACTCCTCACAGCTTGGTGTCTCAGGACTTCTGCAATCTGGCCTCAGACTGCCTCTCCAGTTTCATGTTCCCTCCATTTCTTTAGGCTGACATGCAGCCAGTCTGTGTCTTCCTCAGCCTGTCAAGGGCTCCTGCCTCTTCTCCCGAGGGGCCCTCCTGTTCTGAATATCAGGATCTCATTGGAGAGTTCTTGTTATCACGCATCCTCATGCCTGAGTCCCACCAAGGCTCAGCTCCAAAGGAATTTCTTCTAGCACAACCCAACACTGGACGGCTAGGCATGGAGGACTTCATAAATGCTGGCATCTTCTTTGGGGAACAGGAGCCACATGTGCTTGCAGAATCTCCATCTCTGCCCTGTGGAACAGCTTTGAGACTTTACAGAGAATCTCTTACTTCCTGACACCACAAGACACTTTCCCTCAGTATCCAATCTAAATCTTCTAACTCCCACGATCACCTGCCTCAGCTCTTGCACCTTGCTTTCCCTTCTTCTCATTAACCCTCACTTGCCACACAGATTTTGGAGCTCACAAGATAGAACTGAACCCTCTGGCCTGTCACCATCACAGAGGCACCTGCAAGGCTTGGTTCCTGCTCTGAGGTCCCCTGGGGCTCCCGGACTCCCACAGCACTATCCTGTTGTGTGGGGCCCACCCACCTGCAGGAAGCAGGTCCCAGGTTGGGTACCCTCAGGCAGTGAGGCATTGTAGAAAGTCCTCTGGAACTGGGGCTCATTATCATTCACATCTTGGAGGGCCACGCTAACTGTGGCGGAGGAGGTTAGTGGGGGCAGACCTCCATCCGTGGCCACCACAATCAGCTGTGGCTGAGGTTCCAACTCATAGTCCAGTGAGGCAGCTGTGGTGATGATGCCTGAAGTAGGGTCAATGGAGAACCAGCGAGTGTGGGTGCCAGGGGCTAGGCTATAGGTGACCTGGCCATTGGTGCCTTGGTCAGGATCTCGGGCCATCACTCGCACTACGAAACTGCCAGGCAGGGCTACCTCAGGCAGGGGCTCAGGTCGGTAGAGTTGGTGGTCAAAGGCAGGTGCATTGTCATTGACATCAGTGACATGCAGCACAAAGGCAGCCTCGGCCCGTAGTGGAGGTGAGCCTGAGTCTGTGGCTGTAACCCGCAAGTTATAGGCATCCTTCTCCTCCCGATCCAGCTGCCGTGCCACGCACACCAGGTAGATGACACTGTCTTGGGTGCTTAGGGCAAAGTGGCCCTCTCCACCCTCCAGGGACACGTTGACATGGGCAAAGTCACCATCATCTGGGTCTGATACAGAGATGCGAGCCACGAGCTGTCCAGGAGGGGCGGCCTCAGACACTCGGGGGGAGCCGTCTGCACTCAGGAAGATGACAGTCATGGAGGGCTGATTGTCATTGGCATCTCGCACATGCACAGTCACAAAGGCTGAGCCCAGCTCAGGGTGAGCCCCGCCATCACGTGCTTGCACCACTAGCTCATGGACCCGCCGTTGTTCAAAGTCCAGTGGCCGCTCCAGCCGCAGCAGTCCTGTGTGTGCATCAATGGAGAATGGTCCGTCACCCTCACTCTGCCTCCGGTTGATGTCATAAGTCACAGCCCCATTGGCACCAGCATCAGCATCAGATGCAAACACCTGCAAGACAGGACTGCCGGGGGCCAGGCTCTCAGACACCACAGCGTGGTAGCGGCTCTGATTAAAAGCTGGGGCATGGTCATTGATGTCCAGCAGTGTCACATCCAGCAGGGCCTGCGCTCTCCGGGGAGGAGAACCACCATCATAGGCCTCCAGTTGCAGCATGTAGTGTGAGCGGTTCTCTCGGTCTAGCTCCCCAGTAACTACCAGTTCAGGCACCGGAGCCCCATCTGGACCGGGGCGTGTCTCCAGCCGGAAGGTCTCTCCAGCCCCATCACCAGACAATGCATATCCCTGGGTTCCCAGGCGCCCGGCATCTGCATCACGAGCAGGATCCAGTGGGTAGCGGGTTCCAAAGGCTGTGTGCTCAGGTACTTGCAGGGCAGCCCGAGCCTGTGGGAAAGCTGGAGCATGGTCATTGATGTCAGTCACTCGCACTGTAACCTCCACAGTGGCACCATCAGGAGTGACTGCAGTGAAACGGTAGCGGTCCCGCCGCTCACGGTCCAAGACACGGGCTGTACGGACAACTCCACTGTGCTCATCAATGGCCAGGTCTGTGCCCACGCCGCTGCCCTCCTGGGCAGAGATGAAGTACATGGGAGGTGCTGCCGTGCCTGCTGGAAGCCCCGCACTGATGTCCCCTATCAGTGTGCCCGCTGGCTGCTCCTCATCAATCTGCAGGTCCAGGCTCCCGGCCTGACCCCAGGCGCCTGGCACTCCAGCCCCCAGCAGCAGCAGCAGTGGTAGCAGGAGGAGGGGCCTGGGGCTCTTCATGCCAGGGCAGGAAGACACACTGCCTGGCTCCTTCTGCATGACAGGCGTAGTCCAGCTGTGGCCTGGGCTCTAGCTCCAAGCCAGGCTCTGGGCCCAGTTTGATCTCAGGCTTTGGATTAGATCCAACTGGGCCCCTGGCTCCAGCTCAGGCTCCGTGCCCTGAGAGAAAGCAGAAGGAAACAAGTCATGACAGGGGAGGGATCAGAGCACCAGGGATGTAGGCCACACCGACATTCAGACATGCTTAGCACCCCCACAGGCCCTTGTGTAGCCTCACAACTTTCTCAGGTCCCAGGGCTCTCTGTCTCAGGAATCCAGTCTTTCCCTGGAGGTCCCCATCCCATCCTACCCTGAGCCCCTCTCTTCTGCTTCCTGTTTTTCAGGTCTGAATGCCCACATTCCTTCTTCCTTTTATCTCTGGACTTAAAAATATAGCCAATCTTCTGTCATTTTCTTCTAATCCAGAACTTACCCCTTCCAGCCTTCATAACCATGTGCTTGTAACCTTGCCTGAATTGTCAACCTTTTCCTTTCTGCTCCAGCTTTCTATCAGTATTAAAATGTTCAAGTTGCTCTCTCTCTCTCTGTATATATATTTACACTATATATATGTGTATATATAATGGATAAATATATAGTGTGTACAAACATACACATACAAACACACACACACGCACGCATACGTATATACCTACACAAACATATATATATTCCCTCAGCCCTACTTCTCTCTCCATCCAATGACACCCTGAGCTACTACTATGCAGAGGCACAGGGGATACCACAGTCAATAAAGGAAACAGTCCCTGGTTTCATGAAGTGTACAGTCCAGGACTTGAACAAGTAATAACAAGACTGATAAGGGTCATGGAGGAGATGTACAGGGAACAAGGAGGACATATAAGAGATGCTTAACAAGGTAGGCAAGGAGAGGTTTGCTAAGAAAGTGGTATTCAAGTCAAGATCTAAACAATGATTTGCTGTTAGCTAGGCAATGGTGGAAAGAGAAAGGAGATATAAAAAGGAGAGAAGAGCATTCTGGAAGAGTGAACAGAATGTGGAAAGGCCTAGAGTCCATAGTCAAGGAGGGACTGAGAGTGTCTGGGGGAGGGTTGGGGGGCACGTCTATAAGGCGTAGTGCTAAGGGCAGAGGGTACAAAATGAGTGAGTATCTTATAGCCACACCAAAGATTTTGACATTCTCTTAAGGGCAAGTGGAAACCACTAAAGTATTTCAAGGGGCCAGGCACAGTGGCTCACGCCTGTAATTCCAGTGCTTTGGAAGACCAAGGCAGAAGGATTGCTTGAAGCTTGGAGTTTGATAATAGCCTGGGCAGCCGGGCTTGGTGGCTCAGCCTGTAATCCCGCGCCTTTGGGAGGTTGAGGTGAGTGGATTGCCTGAGCCCGCGGGTTTGAGACCTACCTGGGCAGCGAGACCTCATCTCTACAATAAATCAAAAAATCAGCTAGGCAAGGTAGCACATGCCTGTAATTCCGGCTACTTGGAAGGCTGAGGCGGAAGGATCGCCGGAGCTCAGCAGGTAGAGGCTGTGGTGGCCAGGAGCAGCCATTGCACTCCAGTCTGGGCGACAGAGTGAGACTCCAACTCAAAAAAAAAAAAAAAAAGATAATAGCCTGGGCAACATAGCGAGAACTTGTCTCTACAAAAAATAAAAATAAAAATAAAAAAATAGCTGGATCTGTGGTGTGTCCCTGTAGTCTCAGCTACTTGGGAGGCTGAGGTGGGAGTGAGCTATGATTGTGCCACTACACTCCAGCCTGGGTGACAGAGTGAAACCCTAAACTAATGATGGTGATGAAGATGATGATGATGATGATAATGATAATGCATTCCAAGGAGGAATGCCATGATGTGACCAACATCATGTGAAGATCACTATCACTGCCCCTTGCAAAACATGGAGCATGCAGATAGGACAGTTAGGAGGTGCTCGTGAGTGTCCAGGTGATGACATTGCTTTGATGGTAATCTGGAAGAGTGTTAGCAGTGAAAATGGAGAGAAATGGATAGTTTTATGGGGCTTAGGAGGTGGAACAGGCAGGGCTAGGTGACTGTTTGAAGGCAGAGGAAAAGCAAGTGGGAGAAGCCAAAGATGATGGGCAAGTTTTTGGCCTAAGCTACCAGCTGGACAAAGGTGTCCTTAACTGGCCATAAAAAGAGAGAGTGAACCAGAGAGGGGTGGTGCCTCTGAGTCTAAGTGGAACCAGAGTTTTAAATGCTGCTACAGTTCAAGCAGGAGAGACCTAAAGCCCTAAGAAACCTCTAGTGACTGAGGGCAGAATCAGTGGTGAGGTGGGAGAAGAGGCTGAAGACGGGATGCAGTTGCAGGAGGGAAGAGGTACATTCAGAAGCCACCACCCTCTCTGAAAGGTTGTTTCATTTCCCCATGTTCTCACTTCTCACATCTTCCTCCCTCTGTGCAGTGAGGCTTCCCCTCTTATGGCATTGCTCTCACTAGGCTTCCAATCATCTCTATGTTCTACACCCAATGGACACCTTTTATCTTCCTGTTACTGGATAAATGTGGAACACTGAAACACTGATCACTGTTCCTTGAGGCCTACTCCTCTTGGTTTCATACTGTGACCCCCACCTTTTATTTTCATCAGGCTTCTCCGCCCACTCCTCAATCTCCTTCACAAGTTCTTCATGTCAGTCCACTCCTTCACAATTAATGTTCTTCAGGGCTCAGTCCAGGGCAGTGTCCTTCCCCTCTCCACAAAAACTGGGTGACCTTATCCAACCCCATGCCTTCAATTCAAATGTATCCATCGTTTTTTATGTACATCCATTTTCTAATGACTTTCTAATCTCCATCTCCAGCCCTGGAGAGCTCTGGAGACACATGTCCAGTCATATACCGGACTTTAAAATGTATCTGCACTGTCCCCTCAAACTACTTTCCTCTTCCATTTCCTTTCCTGTGAACACAGCCACCATCCATCCAGGTGTCCAAGGCTAGCAATCCAGGAGCACTACTTGCTTCTTTGCTTTTCCTCAGTCTTGGTTTTGAATTAGTCATTTAAATCTAACAGTTTCAGCTACACATGTTTCAACTCCGCTTTTTCCTCTTTCCTCTTTGCACCAAGCATTGCCATCTCTCTTTGTGACTCCTACGACCGCTCCTTACTGGTCCCCCTGCCTCCTGGCTTAGACCCTGATCCATCTCCATATGACTGGAGATATCCACACAAATCTCACCAAGCCACTCCTGATGAAAGGCTTCCACTGGTTCCCCATTACTGACAGCAGAAAACAGCTGCCCCTCTACAGAAAAGAAATGCACATACACAACCACACAAACTAGCGGCTGTAGCTTCAAGAGGTTCATGGACGCTAGATATAGAACTTCTGACCTACAAGACCAAGTCCAGCCTTCTTAATGTGTCTTCATGATCTGAGCCCTGCCAACCTCTCCACCACCCCCATCTCTGCTTCCCCCACCACACCCTGCATTCCAACATAAAACATATTACCATGCTACCTCTCAACTTTTTGCCTTGTATATGCTATTCCCTTGTCCTGAGATATCCTCTAAAAACCCTCTCCACGTTGCCACCTCCTACTCAGATTTCAGTATCTAGTTCCAATGTTCTGTCTTCTGTGGAATCTTCTCAAACACACCCACTCCCTTACCCCATGCTGGGGCTATCATATGCTTTATTGACCTCCTACTGCTTTGGTAAACACTGACAATAAATTGCACAGAAGCCCTGATTTGTTCATGTGTCTGCCCCACCCCACTGGAATGGAGGCTCCTTGAGGGTAGTGACAGGTCTTAGTTTGTGATTCTCCAGCATCTAGTAGAAGTATAACATGTGCAGGCAATCGCTGCTAAGTAAATGATCAGAGCCTCAAGCTTCCACACCACCACACTCACATAACACCACATGAGAGAAACATCCCTGGTCGTGCCAACTCACATAACATACACAAACACATGAGCCTGTGACCCTGAGGCACCATGGTTAGTCCTGTGGCTCCACAAGTATGTCCTTGGGGCTTTATAGATTAGTTCTGCTGTAGGACTTCCTGTCTTCTGAAGAAAGGTGGATTCCTGACCACTCACCCCTCACACTTCTCACCCACCCCCTCTCCCTCATCTATACAAAGCTATAAAAAAAGATCTGGGGCTTTGGAGCTTGGGCTGGGTTTGAGTCCCAGTTTGGGCATTATGTTCCTAATCTGTAAAATGGCTATGGTAGCACCTACCTTGTGGGGTATTGTGACAATTAGAGACAATGTAAGCAAGGAGCTCAGAGCTGGGTATTTGGCAGACTCTGTTTCGCTAAATCTCAACACCATCCCCTGATGGGTGCCTTCAATGCCTTCATGCCAGCTTCAGAATGCAGAGGTTCTATATGTGCACTAAGATCGCTCTCGTTGAGGCTTTAAGTCTGAGAAGCCCATGGAGCTGCCATATAGAACAACAGGTCAGGGGAATTCAGAACAAGGAAGTCAAGGTCAACCCAGGTCTGACTCAAAGAGGGAGAAGAATGAGTGTACAGGGATGGTCCAAGGGCCCAGATCTGGAATCTAGAGACCGGGTTAGGGATTGGTGCTGTTGATTAAGTCAGTCAGTGGAGAGAAAACAGATGATAATGGACAGTTAGGTCAATGTACTTATCATTCTCTGTATTAAAATTCTCTGTCTTCCTATCCAGACAAGTAGCTGTTTGAGGGCCAAGTCTACTGTGTTTTATTTACTTTCATGTGTAGCATGTATCACAGCACATAGTACATAATCAGTGTATTTTCCAAATGAAGGGATCTATGACTGGTATGAGATGTATCTCAGGTGAATGATCAGTGGTGAAGAGGAGGAATTCAGCCCAGAGAGATGCTAAATGATAATGACCCCTTCTCCCAACCTGTGTAGACCCCTATGCCCTCCTCATTTCCCGACCTGGGGCCCTATCCAGGGCAAACTCCCCTAGTAAACTCTCATGTGACACACACATAAAGGTACACACTCACAAAGTCACAGTTCCACACACTGCCTGGCACTCTCTCTCAC